AGATAGGAACTAGAAACACAGGGAATCCAGGGCGGATGACCCCTTCAGGACCACTGGTGTGAGTAGCGATACTGGGAGGGTGGAGGGAGGGTGGGTTGGAAAGTGGGGATTGATTACAAGGAGCTACATATAAACTCCTCCCTGGAGGACAGACAAGAGAAAAGTAGGTGAAGGGAGACGTCGGACAGGGGCAGTTCTATGCTGCCCCAGAGGGTCACTACGAGTCGGCATTGGCTCGGAGACTGAGTCATGCCTTAGTATGGAGGTCCAGACCTAAAGGCCTTCTTCATATGATGTGTCCCAAAGAATCCATGCTCAGTAAAATAATGTCAGCAGAACTTGTTTGGGCACATCCCTTAACCTCCCTGAGCATTTGTTTGCCGTCCAGATCAATGTCCAACACAGTCACTCATTCGTTACACCTCAGTTAGGTGCCCAGCTCCATGGTAAACTCTGTATGGTTGTACTGATTGGAGCTAATCCAGGGAAAGTGCGGAGCATAACTCAAACTACTTAGTGCACACTCAAGTGATGGCTGTTTACCTTTCTTCAGACTTTTAGTGCCAAAAAAGTTGGGACAGCTTTCTTTAGAGCCCTATGCCACAACTCTCTCATTCCGGTGACAATCTATCCATGTGCATCCCAGAAGCTAGGAGAAAGGAAGGAGCCGAGGCAGGTGAGGAATAAAGGAAGAAGCCACAGCCAACTATACCAAGGAGAGAGGTTTGGAGAGAGCCCCACGTAGCTATAAATGTGGGCCTAGAGTGTATAGGGAATGGATCAGACCAGGGAACACAAATATGATAAGGTTTCAGTGAATGTCAAGTAACTGCTTAGAAGAGAAATAATTTGTAATGTAATCTTAGATATTTAACTTAGATTACATTGTGAAGACAGTCTTCATTCAAGCAGTTTAGGATATGGAGATACGTGGGAAAGGGCGGGGAGGGGGGTGGTTCTCTTCCCTGAAAAACTCAGTCCCAACTTTCAGGCATCTGCATTGGCCTTAAAAACTGCAAATGACCCATCCAAAACCCCATGTTTGTTGAACTGCTACAGGATACGGTAGGCATCGAAGGCCCTGGAGTAGTTTCCCAAACTGAAAGTTGGCTGTCAGAGGATACACATTCATGCCCTGTTTCTCCCACGGTCTTGGTTATCAAGCTACGAGTCTCAGCTTCTCCAGCCAAAAAATGGGGCCCAATGAGATCAAGTAAATGAGCAGGCACTTCATGTGTGACCGTATCACTCACCCACCATTTGAATCATCGTTAGTAATGAAACTTGAACTAATTAGGATGCAAAGGTTTCCAGGTTTTCTTCACTCAGCAAGTGAATAAGAATCACGTCCCCTTGATAATAAAGCAACGCAAATCCTAAACAATAAAAAGCATTAGGGATGCTTATGTGTTTGACTTACCATTTGTTTGTTTGAAAGAACTCCAGACATGCTTTTATTGTCTGTCGGTGTCATCGCGTCAGCTCTGACCCACAGTGATTCTGTGACCACCACTGCATGGTTGCCTGCCATTCTCAGTCATTGCCATGCCTCAGCCCATTGGTGGGCTGGGCTCTGTTATCAATCCACATCCATGAGGGCCTTGCCTCTTCTGTGCTGCGCTTCCACTGTACTAAACATGATGTCCCACTCCAGGGACTGGTTTCTCCTGACAACATAGCCAAAGTACAGAAGTCAAAATGTTACCAACCTTGCTTCCAAGAAGCACTGTGGCCTTACTTCTCCACAACTGACCTGTTTGTCCATGAAACTGTCAGCAATCCTCTCCAACACTGGAATTCAAATACAGCCATTCTTCTACAACCTCCCTATTCAACGTCCAAAATCCACACGCATAAGCTGGAACAGCGAATCCCACGGCTTCAATCAGATCCACATTCGTCCTCAAAGGAACATCCTTGATCTTCAGACTTAAGCGTGTTTGCAGCCTTTGAAGAGCTAAGGATCACGCCAAGAAAAAGTGGCCTACCAAAACCTTTCGTTTGGAAATGATGGCAACCTGTGTACAGTGTGCTTAATACTTTTAACTGATTCGTTGTTGTAAGATTTGTAAGAGCCCTCCAGTAAAATGGTTACTTTTTTTTTAATTTTTAAGAAAATTGAAAAAGGTTAACAAATATCAGGAAGGAAAATTAGAATGCTCTTTCCAGAGAATTCTTAGAGAAGAATACTGGCTTCCGCCTCATATTATCTCTGTTTGGGGCCTAGAAAGGATCTGGGAGATTAAGTAGAGTTTCTTTCCTATGGCCAGAACCAATGAGCACATTCTTTGCATTCCACAGTCTTTCTGACCTAATCCAATGAAAGTGTTGCCCATCATAGCCTGCTTATTGTAAAAGTGGCCAGGACAGCATCGGGGTGCTACCACAGTTTTAGAAGACTCCAATGAGATGAACATGAACTAGCATTTGTACTTGGCTTAAAAATGAGCAAAGTAGATGCCACTCAAAGCAGGCATTTTCTCAGGGAACGTGTTTCTACTTGGCACACTACCTTCTCCCAATGGTCGTGTGTTGGGCACAAGCAGAAACATATTGCATTAATATCTAAGGTTAGGTTTGAAATTTTTGGTTCAGCTGTTTCCACTCAAATATTCTGCTAACACTAAAATGAATATATTCTGAATTCCATTCTGTAACTATAGAAACCCTGAGCCCCACTGTGTTTCGGTGACTCGTAACTCTCTCCATTAAAAAGAAATATGTTCTTAATTACAGATATACACAAGATCCGGTAGGCTTCAAAAACTATTTCACTTTGGGGGATTTGGATTTTTAATCTATCTCCTTCCCCCACTTTTCAAACTAAAGTTAAGCATGTTTAAATAAAAGTCTTGCTCCAGAAATGCATTAAATGGAATTTAAGTCAACAATGATAAGGATCCCTGGTAGCACAGTGGTTAACAGTGTCTGGCTAATAACCCAAAGGTTGGTGGTTCAAACCTACAGCTGTTCCACAGGGAAGAGATGGGGCCGCCTACTTCTCTGAAACCCCAGGGGCTCATTCCACCATGTCCGACAGTGTCTCTATGAGTTGAAAATTATTTGATAGCACTGGGTATGTGCTAAAGTTTTCTTTGTGCTGTAGACTGACACGTGGGCTTGCTCTGAAGGAATACACACCTTTGTGTGTGAAAATGCAAACATAAACCCACAGAATCCAAGAGATAATCAATTGCTGTGGTATCGGGTATCAATGGAGAGGCTTCCAAAAAAGGGGGTGGGGGGAGAAATTTATATTCCCCAGCATTCAAACATACACCATACCTGCCAATTTTATTTTCTTAATATTTCTGAAGCTCTACTTGGTTACCAACTCCATTGTCATTCCTAGTTATTGCCTGTCTGTGTTATAGCAATAGCTTCTAAATAAACCACTAGTTATTGTCTGTGTTATAGCAATAGCTTCTATATAAACCTTTTGCTTCTGTTCCTTCTCTCCACCTCCATCAGGATCAGTGTTTAAAATGCACATCAGATTCTGTCATTTCCCCAGTTCTTCTCCCCTACTAAAGGAGCCCTAGAGGGTTAAGTAAGCATTTGAACTGCTTAGTGCAAGGTCAGTGGTTCAAACCCACCAGCTAGCTGCTCTGTAAAAGAAAGAGGACGCTGTCTATTTCCCTAAGAAGATTTACTCTTTGAAACCCTAAGGAGCAATTCAACTTTCTTATCGAGTCACGGAGTCAAAATCAGCTCAATGGCAGGGGAACGTTCCTACTCTAAGAACACATGAGAACTCCCCACGTGGGAGGTGGGAACTAAGTCAGCATGGTAGGGCATTCATGAAGGTCTCACCACACAGCCTTTTATATACCGCATATATGAATCTTACAGTGTGCATGTGGCTTTCCATTGTGCTCCTCCCTTTTTCTACCATCTTTCAAGTATCGGGTAGATTGACACCTCCTCTCAGAAGTCTACCCCAGGGCTCTCCAACCATCCTTTCCACCTTCTCAAGAGATGGCAGTCTCCATCAGCAGTCTTATCTAGAGTATTGTTATTCACTGTGTACATCTCTGTCCCTCTCTACAAGTTCATTGCTAGTAGCTCTTTGTAGTCTTGCTCTTAAAAAATATTTCTCTGCTCCCCAGCTCCATGCCTAGTGCATGGCAGGCATTCAATGAATGAAGTAACATGTAAAAGTAAGGAATTAGCAGAGATGATAGGAGAACATCATATGGAGAAGGGGAAATGTAAGCTTATATGTCTGCTTAGATTTGAAATGAAGCTAAATATGTTTAGTGTTCTTAGACGAAAGAGCAGTGGTTTTCAACCTGTGGATTGCAACCCCTTTCACCAGGGTCGCCTGGTTCATAAGAGCAGCAAAATGACAGTTAGGAAGTAGCAACAAAAATAAAGTTATGGTTGGGGGTCACCACAACATGAACTGTATTAAAGGGTCGCGGCAGTAGGAAGGTTGAGAACCACTGGAAAAGAGGAAGGAAACAAAGGGAAGTAGAATTTGATTGATTCATGTATGCGTTTACATAGCAACGACTAGCTTTTCCCCCTTTTGTTCCTTCCAAAGAAGGTAATGCTCACTACATGTAACACAGTGCATTTCAAAGGGGCTGCAGCAGGGACACAGTCCCTCAGGACATTACCATGAATCCAGGAACAGAAGCATTTTAGAGCATGCGTGAGGTGCGCTGTGGTGGAGATGGTGGGCTGCTAACCACAGCGACAGCACTGCCACCCCTCCAGCTAGGCAGTGAGAGAGCGATGAGATGTCCCTTCCCCAAAAGATGACCACACTCAGAGACCGTGTGTGGGGTTGCCCACCGTCCCTGTCAAAAATGCTTTGTCGTGTAATCGACTCTCTTTTCTTTAGGGTGGAACGAAAGGAGCGTGCCCGATTGAAGACAGTAAAGTTTAATGCAAAACCCGGAGTGATTGATTCAAAAGGGGTAAGTACGAGAGAATGTAAATATTGTCTTGGTTACCGTAGATTTAAATATAAATAAGTTTTAGACTTGCAGTAGCAAACACACAGACAGCTATTAGACTTTCGTAAACAAGTGACATTTTAGAAGAAGTAAATTTATAGTAAATATGTTAGATATGGGGGTAAAACTCGTGGTTAACCAATACAACGATGAGAGTCAAGAAGAAAAACATAAATGAAAATTAACATGTTTCAAAAGAATGGGTTACTTTAGACAGCGGCCATGGAACTCTACATGGCAATAAGTAAATGAATACACGGATTGTTGTGACAGACATAACAAAAGAAAAATTAGCAAAGTTTAACTATAAATATTTAATAACAGCCTTCATGAGACCTTAACATATCATTCATTCACCTAGAATATCAAATCCGTGGTTTCAGTACAGTGAGAATTATGGCACTATCGTCACCATCAATTTCAGAACATTTTCATGATTCCAAAAAGATCCCTTCTCTCCACTCACAATCACTCATCTCCTTTCCATCTCCCTCCATTCTCAGTACGTCTTGTAAATAGGATCACACACTTCATGGTCTTTTCTGATTGACTTCAATCATCTGTTTGCATGCATCAGTCCTGAAGTCCCTTTTTATTGCCAAGTAACAGTTCATGGGTATACCATATTTTACTTATTTGTTTATCAGTTGATGGGCATTTGCACTGTTTCCACCGTGGTGCTATTATGACGAATGGTGCTATGAACATTTTTGTGGAAAGTATATGATAACTCTAAAATTTGAGTAAATGCCTATTTCCCAAAGAGGTGGCACTGGTTTTCATCTTTGCCATGACGTTGGTAAGAGCCATCCTGGGGGGTCTTAACTGGTATGTCATCGTGGCTTGATAAGAATTTTCCTAATTATGCTGAGCACCTCTTCAAGTACTTATATAAATGGCCAGTATCTTATTTGGAAATATCTCTCTTCAGATCATTTGTTTGATTTTTATAATCGGTTGTCAATACTTCGTTTTGTTTCTGGATGCTAGGCATTTCTTCCCTGTATGATTTGCAAATACTCTGTCCCACGCTGTGGGTTACCATTTCCCTCTCTCGTTTGTGTCCATTGGAGCACAGAGGTTTTCATCTTGTTTTTAATTTTTAATTTGATGATGTGAAATGTATAAAAGGTTTCTGAGCTATCGCATAACCCAAAGCTATCAAGACTTACGCCCATGTTTTCTTCTACAGATTTCATCATTTTAGTTCTGAACATTTAAGTCTTTGGTCTATTTTGTGTGTGTGTGTGATTGATGTTCGGTAGGATTCCAATTTCATTCTTTTATATGTTCCTGTCCAGTTATCCCAAAACCATTTGTTGAAAAGATTATGCAATGACTTCAAAAAATTCATTTAAAAATAGACTTGAAAGATAAATGGAATAGTTTCATGAATTTTTTGAAGCACCTCTGACCCTTCCCACTGAATGATCTTGACGACCTTGTCAAAAATCAGTTGACCATAAGCATGAGTCTATTTCTGAACTCTTTGTTCTATCTGGATGTCAGAACTACACTGTCTTGAATAATGTGGCTTTGTAATGAGTGTGTGTGTGTGTGTGTTTCCAAAGCTCTCTAGACTCCTCTGGCTTCCTTAAATTTCAGCATAAACTCACCAATGTCAGCGAAGAGTCCGATTGGAATTCCATTAAATGCAGAGATCATTTGGGGGGAATACTGCCATCTTCACTCTACTGAATCTTCCCATTCATAAGCCTGGGATGTCTTTCCATATAGTTAGGAAGGTGTGAACTTCTTAGACCAAGTAGAAGTGAGTGAACAGAGTGGTGTTCTGAATGATGGATTCAAAGAAGAGAGTAACAGTCAGAGATCGGAAGGAAAACACTCTTGCAATATTCTAGACGTCAGGTTCTGAACATCTGCCGGAAAATAGCAAACTGCTTCCAAGGAGAACCACCATCCTAGGAAGTTTGATCTAACGATTCCTAGTATCATCCTGTTTCTCAAGCTTCCTTTAAGAGAAGAAACTGTGAGGGAGAAGGTAGAGAAAAGAAGTTACGGTGCTAGCAGGCCCCTGCTGGCAGGACCACTTATCAACCAGAATCAAGCTAGAGCTGACACTGAGAAATCTGAGTGCTGCTTGATCAAGTCTTGGAAATTTCCATGTGGCCAGTAACTCCAGTTATGTCATTTACAGATGAAAAAACTAAGCCTCCTTTCTCAGGGACAGTGTTAGTAGCAGAGCCTGCCATTGTGTGCCATTTATCAAAAAAGTGATTTGACACCCATTGTGTTGTTAGCAAAATCGGAACCAGGTTTACTTCCCAGGATGAGGAATGGGGGTTGCTGTGTAACAGCTTCATAGTAGCATGCTGCATTTCAAGGGGAGAGTCCGGTCCTGCGAGCAAAGAAAGCTCTTTAGTAGCACCAGACTTTGAATGGTCACAGCAAGGGAGTGAGTTCAAATGCCTACTCAGATCCACAGAGGGAAAGCCATACTCTGGGGCATCAAGAACAGCTCCTGTCCCTGCCCTCTAACACTTTCCTAACTGATCTTGCACCTTCCAGTTCTTCTCGTGTGGTTTGTAGACAGCCTGCTATTTCAGGGTAGCCAAAATAGGGCCATGTACCCAGGTCATTCTCCAGAGTGACTAGCCCAGCCTAAGAAGAACTGCCAACTCAAGTGGCTTCTCTAGTCCCCTCTCTGTCCTGGACCTAACAACATACTGCTGTAGGCACGACCAAGTTCATCTATGACCCGATAGGCCAAATTCAGTGTCATTTATATCTGATAAAACCTCCTCATCTTATTTATTTATTTTTAGTTTTTACACCTATGCACCCTTTTCCAGCTTCATTATATATGTAAGGCACTTTTAAAAATACTGTACATGTTGACACTTGACTGGTCAACCTCCTCTCCAGGAGGAAAAATAAATGGCAAACGTTTTCAAATCCAAGGTCATTTTCATCACCTAATTAAGCTAAAGCTTCCATGTAATCAGTGTTAGAGGAAATATGATAAATTGAGGCATAATACATTATCTTCTTCATTGTACTCTTCTGATTTTTTCCAGTTTTATTAAATTGGGAAACAGACTTTTTGAGGCTCTTCTGTGGGTCAAGGACTTACTGGCAATGGAAATACATTACAAATATGACAGTTACTTAGCTTTATGGGTCAAAAGAGTCTGAGGCAAAAAAATATGCCAGCAAATAGCATCTGGTGAGCAAGAGTTGAGGGCAAGATACAATTTGGAATCAGATCCAGAACATGCAAACCTTTCTTGGAGCTCATAGGGAAACTGGGAAAAGGTATCCAAATGAACCTTGAAGGATCAAAAGAATATTGTAGGAAACAGCATGGTGTATTTCGGCAGGGTGGCGGGGGCTGGGGACCAGAGAAAGCGAATGTTTCTTAAGTACAAAATGCATGTCAGGCTAATGCTGAGGGCGATCTGAGGCGAGACCGTGAGGGCAGTGTTAGCAGATCACTCTGCTACAGTGTGGGATACATTTCCCAAGGGAGGCAAGCTTATAGACTAGAGAGAAGAGAATAAACCAGAAAACATACTTGGTAGGGAAACAAAAATTTATTGACTAGGCCATCTACAACAGAATTATCTGAGATTCTTATTAAAAATGTGTAGGATAAACCTCAACCCTGTGGAATCACTATGTCCAGGGATGAGGACTCTATATGTTAACAAGCTCCCCAGACATGTCCCTTCTACATGGTGCAGCTTGAGATGCACAGGCATGGAGAGAAAGTTTAGTATCAGACAAAACAACTTCTAACAGAGTTTCTGTATCTAAGCCTTACCTACAGATGTAAACATGGGAATCAGATTAAGAGAGAACTATGTAGAGTACCTGTAATATTAGTTCATCTCTTTGCTGTTCCCACCCACCTACATGTTTCCCTCTGATAAAGCTCGAATGAACAACTTCCCAGAAGTAAGTCTAGTACTAAAGTTGCAGGTCACCTTTTATTCTGATGGCGAGAACAACCTGCTGGCTCTTGTGGGCAGAGAGGGTGAAGCACCGCAGAAATAATCTCAACCCTCTGCCCCCATTGGCTGCAAATCTTGATGGTTCTTGCCTTCTATTCCATAGTATAAAATGGCCTTTAGCAATTACAAGGCCACTGCTTTGCACTCAGTCTGCCAGTGACCCTGAACTTTTATGAACTGCTTTATTTCAGCAGATTAATTCTACTGGCATTGCTCATGCCCTTCTTACAGTAACCCTGTGAGATAAGTTATGGTTTTACAGATGAGGAAGCTGAAGTTAATAATACCTTTGTGAGGAGTTATGTACCCTCCCTTAAGCATCATTCGGGGCCAGGTTCTGCTAACTAATGTGAATTTATGCTTGAACCAAATGTGGGCATTTAAGTCTATCCATTCAATTAGTGATGTCAAGCAATATAAATAGGAAATGTACCAGTTGCAGTTATATAAATAGCAGTTTCATGGGGGAGAACACTGGTCTTTTGTTAAATCTCGCCCCCTCACCCCCCATTATTCAGAATGTAAGTACTATTCAGAAAATTTGGCTCAAATCCCATTTTTACTTTTGGAGTTATTCATGAATAAATTCTTTCTGGTAAAAGGCCCAGAGTTACACCTTAGAGCTTGAAAAATCTTACTGTGTAACCATTTTTAACTATCCCACGAGAATATCAGGACTAGAAAGTACAGAAGTAACTGTCCAGTACCCTGACTTACTACTATAATCACAGGCAGGCTCTTAACCAAGTCAGAAATAGTGTAGATCTTGCTCCTTTTCAACTGCATACTGTTTATATGTGGGGAGGAAGTCTTTTTTTAATGAAAGATCACACAGTGACTCAAAAGAGCTTCAGCAAGGCTTCCAGTATGTTTCTACTGTTCACAAAAATATTTAATTGCTTTGTCTATTCATTTTTGAAAGGAATATAAAAATAGACAAGACTGTCTAATTTCAGAACCTAACTCTGGATCTGAAAGCAGCAACCT